ACTGCCAATTCTGCTGGAATCGTTCCAGCCAAAACCGTTTCCCCGTTCAGCGGAAATTAGGACTGAATCCGCCTATACAGGTTTTCCTTGCTTTCACAAGATAGAGAGAATACATAAATTGCGCCAAAAATTGGAATTGCTCAACAGCAAAAAACAAAAACAACTCAAAAAAATTAAATATATTCGCACAGTTTTTCGCCTCTCATACTAGTCTGAATACATTTTATTGCAACTTTAAAGTCAAATGAATGAAGAACTAATGTATTTTAAGAAAAAAAAGGAAACTGAGTGGCAACAATACCAAACATGTCAACACTCAAATTTTAGCCTTATCATTCAAACTAATTCCAAAAAACAAAAAAGAAAATAAATAAAATAAATTAAAGTAAAATAAAAAATAAACAGGCGTGGAAGGGGTAGTAGAAAAATGTTCCGCAAATGAGTTCTTTAAAAATATCTACTACTACTACTTCTAACTGCATCAATTAAAAACTTCTTTGACACATTTTCATTTTTTTGACATTACCAATTAACTATTATATTAACGGTACATCAACCCTTCAAAAGCTGAGTTTATCACACCGAACCGAGGACTTTAAAACACACGAACCGAACCGACTACCATATACATGCCAAAAACTTATGTTAACTTACTTCAACTAGCAAACAGGCTGCGATAACTTGCCAGAATCACTGCAGTGAAAAAAGCTCATCTGGAGCAGATTCTTGTCCAATTTCTGGCAGAATACTTGTTCGCAGTGATTCAAATTCATCAAACGCACCATTCCAAAGCTTTGCACTCAGGGTTGCCGTTAGCGATAAATGCTTCACGTAACCGCACAACAACAGCTTAATGGACCAGACTGCTACTCTTCTGCGGAGGAAATCTGTAGTACCCAACGGAGCAGTAGGTATGACACAAACACAGTCATATCGGAACTTCGAAGACGCTTAACAGATATTCATGCATGTCAAACTCTAAAAATAACTGTTTTCCCTCCTTTGCTTTCAAACTGAACAGGTCAAGAAGCGTTGAAACAACAGAAGAGCACCAATACAGCAAGAAAACTGACTAATTTAAAATACAAATAAACTGGAGAGCGACATCTCCAAATTTCTATGACCCTTGAAATTTTTGACCAGAACTCCCCACAGAGCTAGTTTAGTTGCCTCAATAGACTTTTGCTTCTTCAACACCAAACAGATATGGTGCTGTTGATCACTCAAAAACATATTTCAGGAACAGATTATAACTAGATAGCAAATCAAATTAGTTTCAAGAATAGCTAAAAACCCAACTGACACGTGAACAACAATACGAAAGCTTTCAAATACAGTATTCAAGTTTCAAAATCTTGATCAGATGGATAAGAGCTGAAATAAAACAAAACTATTTTTATCTCTGATCAGAACTTATAATAAAGCGAAATCATTACAACTGTGACTTGCATGAGAAATAAAATTTTACTAAAAACTAGGCATTTAAAGAAACTATAAAGGTGGACATTCAAAAGGAAAAAAGTAGTGTCGCTGATGTCACATCACACAGAAAAGAATTTACTCACAGCAACTTTCGATAGCCTCAAGCCATTCCTACCTCCGTAAATAATTATTAGAATTCAAGCTAACAAATATTTCCGAAGAAGAGAAAAATTGATTTCACCAAATACACAATGTTAGAAAGAGGCCGCTGAAACAACTTTATTTTCTTCTTTAGTTTTCATCTTCAAAAACAACCCAATACCAACCGGTGTGCAACACATGAAAGGAACGATTTCAAAAAATTTCCACACAACAGTTTACAAAAAGCCTACAGAAAAGTTAGTAATACAAAAAATCAATAGAGCCTAATATGAATCACAAATCCATTTCAAAAAATGAAGATTTCCAGTAGAATCAAGATATTTAGTTCTAAACAGCTCTACGCTTCTCACTCTGCGTTTGATATGAAAAATAAGTGTTCCACACCAAAGATCCCAGCTGCACGATAATCACACGAAAATTAAGCGGCATTAAATAAAAGTTGAATAATTGCAAAAGAGGCCAAAACTGTAAAACAAATATTAAGGATTAATTCACCAGTTATGAATAGCAATTAGTTAATTCAATTAAACTATAAAAGAAGTATATGATAGAAGAATGCTCTGAAACTCCGTAACTACTGGCAAAATTCTCCCTATAATAATTTTTCATGTAACCAGTTTCGTGGTTAATTCTTCAGACAGATAAGTTTCTTTTTAATATAAACTAGCCAGTAAAAAAGTCCAAACACACACTTCAAGATTGAACACTAAAATAGGTAGATAATCTCGTTTGATCTGTTGATAGCATTCTCTTGGTCTACTTCCCTCGAAACTTCGAAGCATGAAAAGAATTGTGGCCAAAAAAACCGGGGCAAAAACTACCTAAATTATGATGTGTTCTTTAAAGCATTTTTTAGCAAAATACCCCAAGCAGTTTATAACCAAATGTGAAAGTAATTAATAAAAAAATTTTAAAGATAAAATTTCTCAAACCGAAAAACCTGATCAATGACTAATCTTTTTAATGGGACAAGCAGTGAACTGCCATGAACACGTTCGAGAATTCTGTACCAGTAAACCAATATCGGTGCCTGAAAAGTTTTTTGTTTTATACAAACTTCATCTGCCATGACCAGCTTCAAATAATCTTTACTTCACAATATATATCAACCTTTTTCTTTAAAAATTTTATTCCCGCAGATCCTGATAAAAAAAACTATCGTGTAGTATTTGGTAAAAAAATGTACGATGTAAGCTCCAGTTAAAGCTGTGAACCTTCCAGTTCGAACCCAGTCGTAGTTTGCCCATTTTTTTTTTTCCACAACCTTCTGTGCTATAAAGTCACCGC